TTTTTAATATTTATATAAATTTTTTATTTTATAATTTACACTTTATAAATTTACTAAAATATTATTCATAAAATTATTTTTTATGTTGTTTCATTAAAATTATTTTAATAAATTTATGAAGTAAATTATAGTTTAAATGTGTAGTATGAATCATATTACATGATTTTTAATATTTATATAAATTTTTTATTTTATAATTTAAACTATATCAAATTATAAAATTAAAAAACTTAAATAATCTAATTTAAATATGACTATTTTATAGTCCAACACAATAGAAACTATAAGTCAGCTTTCCAATTTATATAAGGAACTTATGTAACTAACCCATGTTACAGAAAAACCAAGAAAATATCCACACAAAAAATAAATAGAAATAAAAACGCAAACAGAAGTGTGTTTTGCTTTGCAGGGAAAAAAGAATCCAGAAGGAAACCGTGCCGCATTGATTCTAATTCCAGTTTTGAAAATTCAAATTTCAGTATCTTTTATACCCAATAAACTAAAAATTGATAACAAAAACACACTTACAAAGCAAAGTCTCTATCTTTATTTCTAGATTTGAAATGCTCAATACAAGACTTTATCTTCTATCTTCCTTTGTTTCACGGATTCTCAATTTTTCTTGAATTTTTCATCCCCTCCCCAGTTGGTGGAAGCCCCTTTTATAAAAAATAAAAAATAAAAAATAAAAAACCCAAACTCTACATTAATTCTAAGCTCTAATCCCCAAATCTCCAAATTATAGATAAAAGCCTAATCCTAATCAAGATTGAAATCGTAAAATTCATTTAGGTGCTCATGCATTCTTTCTTTTTAAAGGCCAGATTTGTAATGCATTAGGACTCCAATTTTGAACCAATTTCGGACTCTGCCTTTTAGCTTTCCACCAATTCTTTCAATTCCTGTGTCTTTGCTACGAAAATTTCTCCATTTGATAACTTGATTGAACCAACCTCAAGTAGATCTGATAGAATTTTGGAAGAAACAGGAAAGAGGTAGCAGCAATTCTGTTAAAGACAGAGCAGCGTAAGAATTTCGAGAGGGTTAGGGTTCAAATGGACCCTGGCCTTCCATTTTTTTGATTCATTCAAGACAAAAGACGTTATTTCGTGGCTTCTCCCCCTTTAGTCTTCAACTTTTGCACAACTTTTAGTTTTAGTCTCTTAACTCCTGATTTCATCAATTTAGACCTGCAATTCACAATTTCTAATTCTTAACTCCTTGCAACCAAGTCCAATTTATTTATTTCATTTTATTTCTTTTTACCCTATTAATTTTTAATTTTGTCATTGAAGCTTTAGAATTGAATTTATAAGAAATTAATTATAACTAAAGTTTGGAAAAAATTTCAAATAAATATCCGGTTAAAATTAGATTATGACAACAACTATTGCACAATCCAAGTTAACTTGCTTCAAGAGCATATTTGAATTTTGTTCGGACCTCTTTGTAAGTAATAGAAAACATATGTTAACGACCTTTCAGAGAAATAAAAAATT